CGAAGTATCACTGCCGAGGGATTGCAAGATAACGGGGTACTTCTGGGATATGAATTCTTTGCTGCCCCGTGGGAAGGAGGCTGCTGGGCCAGGAAGCGTGGAAATAATTGTTGGCCTCCTGGAGCCTGAAGAGGGTAGATGACGAAAGTTATCTTAAATACGCCACACAACTCCCCAAAACCAATAGTTGAGCAGGCAGAAATCGAATAAACGCTTGAATCCGTTCCTCCTAGAGGCACAACCTCTCCTCATTCCCTTTCCCAACTTTCAGAAGGGTCCCTAACTTGATAGGCTAGTAAAATTCATCTGGTCCCTAGCCTGCTGTCTGAACATATTAGCATCCTCACCTCAGTCCATCTCTAGGTGGTGAATTCCAATTTGAAAGTGTCCCACATTCTTCCTAAAAAGGAAGTGCCACGGGAGCCAAAGTCCTGTTTTGCCAACGAAGTGTGAATAATGACCTCTTCAAAATCCGTGTGTCACCTGTCACTGCCAACATCTCGCTGCAGAGGCTGGCTGTGAGTATCAGGTGCAGGACTTCACGTGGGCAGTGCTGGAAATGCTTAACACAACCCGGGCACACCACCCATTAATCCATTTTTTTTAACCTCTCCACACACTCCTTTTCAAAATTACTTTAAAGATAGTTGGTGCTAGTTTACAAGCTCATCAACATCATACTGTCCTACTCCCCACCCAGAATTTCAAGGTCTGAGATTAAAACGCATTTGAATGGGCTGGGGATTTAGCTCAATGGCTCCACTTCCTTCTGCACAAGCACAAGTTCCCAAGTTCGATCCCTGGTACAAGAAAAAAAAAGTTAAAATGCATTTGATTCTGGATTCCAACGGACGACTCTGGGTGAACCTGTGTGTGCAAATGGGAGTAGTGCCCAGGAAGCCGGTCTAATCTGACTTTACTATTCAGGAGTGGTTATTTAAGTGGTCATATTCTGTTCCTACCTCTTGTAAAACATGATAATAATACCTTTTTACAGGTGTATTGTGAGGACCTTATAGGAAGTGAAAATCAGGTGGTGTTTTGTTTTGTTATATGGTGATGGAAATTAACTCAAGGCCTCCTACATGCTTCCCCATTTTTTTTCTTTTTGAGACAGGGTCTCAATATGTAGCTGAGACTGACCTAGGACTCATTATGTAGCCCAGGGTGGTCTCGAACTCACCGGGATCCTCCTGCCTCAGCCTCCCGAGTGCAGGGATTACAGGCATGCGCCACATGCCTGGCTAAGGCCTCTCATATGCTAAGCTGGGAGGTACACCTCCCAGCCCCTGCGAATGAAAAACTTTGAAAACAGCAGAATGCTACTTCTTCCCCCCACCCCACCCCACAGTGTTGGGGACCTCCTGTGGGCTTCTACACTGAGCTCCTCCAGCTGTTTTGTTTTTTGCTTTTTGGTACCGGGGATCTGACTCAGGACCTTGTTTGCCCTGCAGGCACAGCACAAGCAGAGCTAAATCCCTGGTCCCCCAGCTGTTTCACTTTCAAGTATTCGACTGGGCTACTACACATCCGTGAGGGAGTGGTGTTAGAGATTTCAGCTCTGGGCACTCAGGAAGGAGAGAGGACACTCTCAGATGCTCTGAGATGCGGGAGGAAGGGGGGTTACCGAGGGGGGGTCTTTGCTAAGTTGCTGTCTTCCCAGGGCTTTAGGACTCCAAGGTGTAGTGAGAGGTAGAAAAGAAAGATAGTAGGGGTGTGCTGAAAAGTCTTGCAGCTTGAACCCATCTGAAGAACGTGATCAGAGGGGAAGAGCCAGAGGGCTGACTACGGAGTGTTGTTTGGTATCTTGGAAATCAGTGTCTTCCCCACCCCTAACACACTGTATGGCTTGAGAAGCCAATACCCCCACAGGATATACAACTCCACTAGTGAGTGCAGCAAACAAAACTGACTAAAACTGGGGCATGTGGCATGTGACTGTAGTGCCAGGTATGCAAGAGGCTGAAGCAGGAGGATGCCTTATGTCTAGGAGTTTGAGGCCAGTGTTGGTAACACAGTGAGACCCCCATCTCAGAAAACAGAGAAAAAAGAGGGAGGAAAGAAGAGAATGGAGGCAAAAAAGGGAAGGGGGAAAGGGAAGGGAGACAGGTTGGTTATTAAGCTTCCTAGGGTATACTGTGGCTGAAGACTAAGGGAAGGGGAGGAAGGAAGGAAAGCTCCTTCGGGGGGAAACTACCTGAGGCCTAAGGTAAGAAAGGGAGGAAGAGAAAAAAATTACTTTTGAGAGAAGTTATTAAGCTACCTGGAGGGGGTGGGACTGAGGGCTACTGTTGTGAGGGTCTAGAAAAGGAGGGGGACTGGATGGGAGGGAGAGGGACAAATGTAACTCAGACAACAAAGGAGACTGCGGGTGCCGCGCAGTGGCAGAGTGTTTAGTGTGCTCCAGGCCCTGGATTCAATCCTCAGCACAAGAAAGTAAAAAATAAACTGGGCCCAGTGGTGCATGCCTGTAATTCTGGCTACCTGGGAGGCTGAGACAGAAGGATCATAAATTTAAGGCCAGCCTGGGCACCTTAGTGAGACCATCTCCAAATTTAAAAAGAAAAATTAAATGTAGAAATACTGATCAGTGCAAGGCCCTGATTCAATCCCGGTACCACAAAAGTTAGAAAACAAAAAACAAAAATAGGGTCTGGGGATTTAGCTCAGTAGTGCTGCACCTGCCTCATAAGCACAAGGTCGTGTTTGATCCCCTGCATGGGGCAGGCGGGGACAGGGATGGGGGACGAGGACGACGGACAGCACACACAAAATAAGCGATATTAAGACTTTTTATCAGTGTCTGCCATAGTGCAATAAATGTTATCATTTGTATTCTCTGGACCTCATTGGCCTTAGCTACAAATTGAAATGTTAGATTGATTGGGGGGGGGTTCATCTCCTCCCCCACTAGAACCTTATTAGGGTTTTTTTTCTCCCAGTACCACATGCCAGAGACTTTTTTTCCAGACAGGGTCAGTCTCATGAAGTTCAGGCTGGCCTTGAACTCACTGTGATCTTGCTGCAAACCTCCCGCTTCAGCCTACGAAGTGTTGGGATTACAGGTGTGTGCCACCACACATGGTTGCCGGAGACTTTTATACTACCCCTTAACACAGTGGTTTTCAGTAACACCTACATTGGGAGTGACCAGGGCAGTGTGTCGAGATGCAGATTCTTGGGTCAGTGCAATTCTGACGCTAAGTCTAGGAATCCAGTGCTTAACAGATGCTCCTGATATGTGTCCCATGGATTTCACACATATGCAGCAGGGAGGGTACGACCCTCCAAAATCATTTCTGGAAAGCATGATGGGAGATGAGCTATCCCACCTGTGGGACCACGTGATCTGCTCACCAAATTGGATACTCTGATTTTCAGAAGGAATTCTCACCCAAGCATGAACATTTCTGTTCCACCTAATACTGTCCTGCCCTATCCACCTTGCTCCCCCAATTCCCTATCTTCCTCTCTCCTTTAATCCTCAAAATAATCCTAAATCATGATTCTTCCCTCTTAGAACCTAGCTAAATAGGGAGTCTGAGAGCCACAAGGGTATATGAATCCTGTGTGGATACCCATCCGTTATTTACAGAAAAACCAGAAATTCCAAGGGGCCAAACAGGTAAATCAAATGTTTGAATCTTCTTTTGGCCAGGGAGCTAAAACAATTCCTTTTTTAAAAAGACCAAGGAAGAGAAACCAGTGTCCTACCCTCCTAACACACAACTTCTGCCATAAAGGTTTCTGACCGAGTAAACTTGCTATCTGAGCAAGTAATTCGTTGTTCTTGTTTTTTTTTGTTTTGTTGTTACTGGGGATCAAACCCAGGACCTTGTACTTGCAAGGCAGGTGGTGGCACCATTGAGCTACATCCCTGGCTCAGTAATTCATTTTTATCTCAGACAGCTTGCATCTTTAGTGCGGAACCTACAACTCTGGGTAGGTTGAGGGAGGTGTGACAATCAGGATGGTTGGAGTATTTGTGCTATAGCCTCTAACTCCTACTCCATTAAGCTCCCTCAAGGATACTGTGGTTGGGAACTAGAACTTAGAAAGTTCTAGAAATGGAACTGGCTTATGTCTTGCAGAGGCAGGAAAGAAATCAGAAAGCAGTGTGAGGGGGCAGAAAATGGATAAAATGGGCAATTTTGAGACAGGGTCTCATTATGTAGTTTAGGCTGGCCCTTAACTATGTCACCCAGGTTGGCCTTGAATTCACAGCTGTCTTCCTGCCTCAGGTTCTTGAGTACTAGCATTATATCCAGAGTGTGTCTCTTTAAAATGTCTACAACGGTGGTTTTGCCACATGCCTTGCAAGTGCAGGTCCCAAATTCAATCCCTAGTACCATAAAAAAAAAAAAAATGCCTATGACTGACTGTACTCCCCAAGAACGAACAGGGTGGGTTACTTAGGCCTTGGATGTAGTCACTGCATCAATGTTTTTGTTTTGTTTTGAGATAGGGTCTCACTATGTAGTTCAGGCCGGGCTTGAACTCACTATGGAGCCCAGTTTGGTGTTGAATTCACAGTGATCCTCCTGTCTCAGCTTCCCAAGTGCTGGGATTAGAGGGGTACACCATCACACCTGTCTGCATCAATGTTAATTATACCACCAGTTGTGAACAGCATTTATCTTAGAAACCTTGCAGATGAGGTCAAGTTAGGAAGAGGCAGTTTATTCAGTGTACTTTGGTCTTTGCCCAAAGTCTGGCATCAAATAACCCTTCAAGTTCATATTCAGAGGGGTAGGGCAGTTATGCAGAAGAAAGCAGAATGCACAGCAGAGAAAAAGGAACTCACAGCTGAGGAAAAGGAAGAAACTCAGCAATCAGGATGAAGCCAGTCAGAGCCTTGCCAGATGATCTCTTCCCTCAAACTCATGTAAATTCTTTATGATTCAGCCACTAAGGCTTCCTTTCCTTCAATTTCTTTCTTTCCCTTTTTGAGACAAGGTCTTATTATGCAGTTTGGGCTGGCCTTGAACAATGAAGCTCAGGTTGGCCTCAAACTCTTGGGGGATCCTCCTGCCTCAGCCTCCCAGAGTGCTGGGATTAAAGGCATGTCACACATCCAGCTCTTCTCATGTCTGAGTATCAGAAACCAAAATCCAGTAAAGCCACCTGCTTCCTTTTTCTCCAGGGGTCATATAAGAGTCCTGAGAATGAATAGTTGTCCTTTAACTGGTTATGAGGAGCAACATGTTAACACAGGAATGGAGGTCCCAGGGGAGGCCCCAACGTGCTCAGAATGGGAGGGCATACATCAGAGGCTGCACCAAGGTGGGAGGATGTAAGGGGCAAAGGTGATTGCTGATCTTTCACTCTGCAAACTGGTCCAGGAACTTGAGGTAGGCCTGCCGCTGAGGCGCAGCTGCTGGAACAAAGTGGCCACCAGAGTGGGTTAGGGTGGTGGCTCCAGGGAATCGGCTAGCCAGTTCCATACTCTCCTGAGAGGGGATGACTCGATCAGTATCCCCAAAAACATGGAGTGAAGGCAGTGACAAGAGGCTCTGCATGACAGGTTCTTTGAGGCCAAGGCCCCGGGGACAGAAACCAGAGATGAGGATGATAAAACGAGGAATTGGAAAGCGCAGATCACCGGCCTGGCCCAAGGCACACACAAGGGCTGCTAGTGCAGCCCCCTGGCTGAAGCCCAGGAGTCCATCAAAAGGCCCCAACTTATCGAGTGCCTGTGCCACCGTTCCCAGGGCTTGTTCCAGGCCCCTGCACACCGTGGGCTCTTCGAGGGCGCTGAAAACGTCTGCCTCCTCTGAAAACCACCAGCCTCGAGGCTGCTCCTCCAGGGGACAGGTCTCTACAGGCAAATGGAAAACGACGGAATCAGAGCAAGGGAAATAGGGAGGTGACAGAGGGGACTGAGGGGAAGACTGTGGGGAAAATGAGGTGGGAATGAGAGGCCTGACATGCACTGGAGACAGATGAGAATGGAAGCCTGAAGTTCGTGCCAGAGAGGCAGGGTGGGAGGGGGAGGGAAGGGCACGGGGTATGCTAGGGATGCTAAACAGATGGGGCAAGACGGAGAAGAAACCCTGAGAACATTTCCAGCAGGGCTCGTCTCACCGGAGTCTGGCACGGCGCCCTCCGGGCCCGCTGCATCAAGGACTGGGTGGGGACCACTAAGACATACGAGCTCCGCGCGGCCCCGCAGCGCCTTCCTCAACGCTCCAGTCTTCTCGCGGAAGCCGCGCTCACTCTGCCGGAAACCAGCTAAGCACAAGATCCGCAAAGGATGCCGTGCCGCCATGTTTACAGGAAGGGCGCTTTGGAGGCACCGGAAGCGGTCTTTCCCGGAGCGGAAGTAGAATCAGGCAGGGGCGGGACCAAACGCCGGCACCACCTTAAAGGCGGGCCTCGGAGGAGCGGGCGTTGCCATGACAACATGGGGGTCGGGCGTGGCCCCAACAGGGGGAGGGATTTTGTCACCCAGGGGCGTCTACCTGGAACCCAGGAGCTTCTCAGGGAGCCGGCGGCACCACCTTCTCTTCTTTGCAGTTACAATCCTTACAAGCACCTTCCGGAGCGGGGCGCGTGGACCCCTCTTTCACCTGAGGTCGGAGATTTGGGTCAGTCTCGCTTTTGTGACCACTCTTAACTTCAGTGCACTTCCCGTTGCGGCCGCACAGCGGCGGCCTCGGCTCATGTCGTCACGGAGGTGGCTGGTGCCAAGGCCGAGACCACGAGCTGCCCCTCCTCCCTCCTTGAAGCCCTGGCTACCTTCCCGGCGGGTCTTGCAGGGCCTGCAGGGCCGTGGGAGTTTCGGTCTCGCCCGTGGTTCACTGTCCATGGCCCCAAGGAGCTGCTGGCGTAGAAGTCCATGGGGTAGGGATCCTGCCAGGAAATGTCCCTCAAGGCCACGGCTGCCTAGTATTGGAAAACAGGATAGTAATACTTGCCAACGTTTTCTTGAGCCTGGATTTATTGAAGTCAATTCTCACAATGGCCTATGAAGGGCGTATTATCCCCATACTGCATAAAGGAAATGTGAGGCTCTGGGAGGTTAAGCGACTTGCATAGGGCCACACACAGCAAGAAAGTGGCTCAGCTAAGACATTGAAGACAGTCTGAAGTCAGAACCTATGATCATAACTAAGTGCTGCCCGCCCTCCTCACTTCACTTCAGAACCCTTCTTTGACAAGATGAGGTACAGAGCCCATTCTCCCATGCATCTTCAAAACTTGCTGTTACCTCATAGGGTGTCAGCAGTGGTTTGGGGAAGGCTGTGCCCCAGTCAATGGAGAGGCGAGGACACGCCACCTGCACCCACCTGGGAAGAGAAGCCTGGTCAGACCTGGGATGGGGGTCTCCCTGCTCTGAGGCAGCATGCTGAAGAACATGACACTGTCCCCAGAATACTCATTAATAATGAGACTGGTTGATTGAGACAGGGTCTTGCTATGTAGTTTGGGCTGACCTTGAACTCACTATGCAGCTTAGGTTGGCCTCAAATGGCAATCCTCCTGCCTCAGCCTTCTGTATGCTACCATTTCAGGCTTGTGCTACCAAGCCCAACAATCAGAACTTGTGAATCTTAAAGTAAAGACTATTACCTACTGCTGTTTAAAATACTATAGTGTTGCTTATTTTCTCCTGTTTCTTCCTCTGACTTCACTCTCTGAGGGCAGCTCATTTATAACAGTATTTCCAGAACCAAATTTAGTACCTGGTACAGTGCAGGTGTCAAGCACACCTCAGACATATCTCACCAGAACTACTGTGATACCACCATTGTCTCTGGGCCCCAAGGAAAGACAAAGCAAATGACCCATGATGAAGGGTAGCCCTGGCTGGGGAAATTCCTGGTGAACATTAAAATTTCATGACTGTGAAAGCAATTCCCATTGACTGCAGCCTTCGATCTGCTGAGCAGGACCCAGCTTTTAGCCAGAATCAAGTTAGGTAGGTAAGGTGAAAACTTACACATCCACCCTAGGAAATAGGCTGAGCTTGCTGGGGTAGATCTCAGAGAGCAGCAGCCTCACGAAAGGAAGTCCCAAGGCTCGAAGTTGAGATTCCAGGTGCTGTTTGTGGAGAGGGAGGCTAAGCCGGGGTCACCATGATCAGCCAAAGCTTAACCCCTTAGCTAATTGATTATCCCAAATAGATTTTTGGTCAGTCAGCTCCCTCCACCTGAGGCCAACCCGAACTCTCTGACCTCTAGGATCTTTGGACTGCCCTGACGGCCCAAAGTGCCCAGAATAAGGCCCCAGGATTTGGCTGAGCGAGCAGTGGCTATAGCTTCCTGGCGAGCAGCCTGCATGCGCTGGTGGTCATAGTGCTCTCTGGATAGGACTTTGCTGTAGGGGTCATATCTGGAAAAGAAGTTACCAGGATCACTGTGACAGCCACTCCTAAGGCTCTTGTTCCATACAGGTAATTAGGAAATCAAACCCTAGACAAGTACAAGGATTGCCACTGGGAAGATCAGTCCCATAGATGGAGCAGACAAGACTTGAGGAGGGTCTTAGGATGTCAGTGTGAATCCTAAGTGGTCAACAGTAGCCCTGGGCCTAATGCCCAGATGAGAACCCAAGTTAAAACTGAGTGCCACTTAGTGGCTGGGAGCTGAGGAAATCTCAGTCTGCTGAGGGCCTGAGGGGAAGGGAATTTTACCCTTCAATAGAAAGCCCAGCCCATACCGGTAAGCAGGGACACTGGGGTTGGCAATCATGACAGACTCCAGATGGAAGCGGCCATCTCCAAGATACCTACAGGGATGGAAAGAAGCTGTGAGTATGGTTTGGAACAGTGGAAGAGGCCTATGCTGCTGTATGAAAACTGGGATAAGTCATTTTCCATTCTGGGGCCTTGGTTTCTATTACATAAAATAAGGCATTAGCCAGGTATACAAGAACACACCTGAAATCCCACTACTCCGAGAAGCCAAGGCAGGAGGATTCAAGCCGCCCACCCTAGATGACTTAGTGAGACCCTATCTCAAAATAGAAAGAGGCTTGAGATATAGCTCAGTGTGAAGCCTTTGGGTTTAATCCCTAGTACTGAAGGGGAAGGAAAGTTTGACTTGGATGCTTGTGAGATTTCTGTAGTAATGTAATGTAGAATCTAAGAACTACCTCCCCCCAGCCTTCTGGGGTAAGAAAACAGGAGCAGCCAAGGCCTTGATAAGCTCACTTGGGTCTCTCGAGAGTTTGATTTGGAAGCTGCGGGACAGATTCTTACCAAGCTCAGTACCAATATGGGAAGTAGTGTTCAGGGGGTCATTTATGCTGAAAATAAGAGTTCAGGGTATACATTGGCTACTCTTTCCCAAACCAGCTCTTGGGTCCAGGTACTGAGTTATAGGAGTAGCTACTGTTCCTTAAGACTTGTGCCGCCTGTGTTCCAGGCCTAGACAAAGTATCTGAAATGTATGTGTTCATGAGCTCACCCAGTCCTATCAAATAATCTCCAAGACAATGACAGTATCCCCCTGCCTTTGATATGGGGGGGGTGTCTCTTACTACGTAGCCCAGGCTAGCCTTAAACTTGAAATCTTCCTGCCTTAGCCTCTAGAGTACTAGGATTCCTGGTATGCACCAACATGGCTGGCATTTTAATAGTCCCATTTTATAGAAAATACAGTTGAGGTTCAGGGATGTTGAGAAACCTGCCCAGAGTTAAGCAGCTGTGAAGCAGCTTACTGAGACTTATTGCGAGGCTTGGCTGGCAGGCTATACCAAGCATGCCCTAAAAGATGCTATCCAACAGTACCTTCCCAGGATATGGAACTTCAGAGCATGGAAGATAATCGGCTTGTGGTAGTCGTTTCTCTCCCTTTGGAGATCACACTTCATTTTATGAATAGTCAACACTCACAGTATCTCTTCCCCACCACATACCTGAAGTCCCCAAGGGGAAGCCTCTAGGAGCTCAGGGTTATAGAGGCACAGACACATGGGGAATGCCCCTTCGGGAACAGAGCTGCCAGGGCTGGGAGGGGGAGGGCCTGGACATGGGCCTATGGGCAGGGGTGTCCTATGCGGGCACAGCAGGCTTATGGGACCAGCATCCAAAGCCCCAGAGGTAGGTTGCGTCAGGGAGTGCCCTCCCTCTTTCTCTGTCATTAGCTAGGAATGGGGCTCCCCTCCCCAATCCCAGGTGGGGGAGCTGTTGGCTCTGAGGCTGGCTGCATTCACACAACATTAAGCATTTCCATTACCTAAAATAATTAGGCAGCAGGAGACATGCTGCTACTGCTTGTTAGCTGTCCGGATGCTAAATTAATGGGGCTGCAGCCTGGGTGTGCCCATCCATCTTCTCCAATTATATTTGTACCATTTCTGTCCCCTCCTCTCTCCCTCCTCCATTAGGCCCTTAGATTCCTGTCCCCACCTCAAGCACTGCCTTCTGATAGTGGACAAAGCCTGGAAAGAGACAGTAAAGCTGAATCTAGTTTCTTAGTTAGTCCCATCTTGCAGGTGTAGCCTTGACACAGATAAGGAGGGCCAGGGATTTAGCTCAGTGGTTCTGCTGCCTGCCTTGCAAGCGCAAAGACCGGAGTTCGATCCCCGGTACCAAAAAATAAAAAACAGACACAGATAAGGAGCTTTTTAGACTCAGTTTCTTTTCCTGTATAAGGAACCTCAGGTGCTTTCCCTGGGTATACTTCTAATGTCTGTATGACATGGGCCCCAGTTTTTACTTACACAATAGCTTCTACCTCCTTGGACAGTCGGGGGGATGTGCAGCCCAGAATCTCCCCAGGGGACAACGGCTTGCACTGTGGGACACTCACACGGTACTTGGCTTTCAGCTCCTGGGCAGCCGCCTGTAGGGATAATGAAGGAAGAGAAACAAGTGGCTGGGGAAGGGGACCTACGGCTAGAGAAACAGTGCAGACCACCTGGGATGGGGATCTAGAAACAGCCTGGGCAGTGACCAAGGTTTGCCCCACAAGACACTAGGGATCCTCACTTCATTTACCTGCAAGGTTGACACAAACTGAATGGTGCTGACCAGGGCAAGAGCACTGCCTGGAGGAAAGGTAAGACTGATAGAGTCCAGGAGGTGGGCAGTGTCTATCTGGATGTCCACAAAGACGTACAGCACTCGGAAGTCTTGGACTGAGATATCCATGGGAACTGAAAGGAAAGACAAGTTCAGGAAACTATTTTTGGAGGCAAGAAGGGCAAAGAACTTGCTCCACACTCTCGTTTCTGAGCAGCAAGGGCTGTGGCTTCAGCCTGGGGGCAGAATGAGGAAGTAGGAGAGGGAGGGCTCACGGGTCCCCTAGAAACTCCTTCTCTGTCACTCAGCTGGGGGCCCGGCTTGCTCTACCACAAAACGCCTTTCAAACACTCACATCTGGGACAGTAGCATAGTTTCCAAGGCAACCAAATCCAAAGGAAAGCTCTACCTGCAGAGCAGGAAGGCCAAGGCCATCCCAGAGACCAAGAGGGACTTGCCTATGATAGGCTTGTAAGTGGGACAAGAGGATAAGGATTAGCGTGCGGCCTACCTCCCTGCCCGATCAGAGGTCCCAGCCCACCATACCCAGGCAGCTGTGGCCGTAGTGCACCAAGAAGTCCACTCCCAGGGCTCTTGCAGTAAAGTCATCCACACAGCAAGCGCCGTAGGTCACATCACCCATCACCATCACTTCAGCCTCTGTGAATCTGCAGGGGTGTACGGGAGGAACAGTTGGACAGTAAAGGTGGGCGAGAACCTTAAATCCATGGAGGTGTCTCAGGGCCAAGCTCCTCTCTCCCTCCCCTCTCAATTCCTTGGGTTGGCAGCTGCCACTTCTGCCAACAAAGAGTAGGAGGGGCACAGCTGCCACCTCCCTCAGCCCTGGCAGCAGCTCCTGGAACAGTTGCTGTATGAGGATGTCTGTGCGGCACAGATTCCTCAGCCCAGGCTCCAACTGCAGGAGGGACCCCCCACCCTCAGGCAGCCATGCATGGGCCCCAGCACAGACACCCAAGGCTCCACTTCATCCCACCCAGGGTAATGAGCACTTAAACACATGTGAAAGTTCCCCACTCCCATACCTGGCATCGTGGTGTGAGTGGGCAGGGCTGTGTGGATACACAGCCTCCCTCTTGCCTGGACCCCCACTACCTCCCCACCCATAGGCAAGGCCCTGGGTGCCCAGGATGGGGGGACCCATGCACAGCTCCCCAACAGCACATGGCACCACCCACATGCCTCATGCGTCAGGAAGAGTGGGCTCTGGCCAGCACATTGCCTTGGGATCTGCTGCCAGGCCTGAATCACTAGGGACTGGGGTGGGTGGGGAAGACCCTGTACCCCTTGAACTCGCCAAGGAACAGAGCAGGAGGCCAAGCTTTTCCATAAAAGACCCACACCTGGGGGATGGAGCCTGGCTCTCTGACTGGGCTCCCTGCATTCTTCTCCTGGGGTGTGGTGGTGGAGAGTGAGCTGCTGCCAGGCAGCCCCCTCCTCCACCCCCTTCCCCAAATCAGGCTGTGCACAGAAGCAGATTATTCAGCTCCTTAGAATGCAGCCCAGGCTCTGAGTCAGCCAGAGCACTTAATTTTTTATAGATTAAAATGTATGCAAATTGGCCTGAGCCCCAGAGAGCATCCCCAAGGGGCAAGAGGGTGGGAGCAGGGAAGTGGGTCTGTGGTGGAGGAAAGGAGGAGCAGAATGGGGGGAGGGCGGCAGCAGGGAAGTGGGAGGTTCTCAGCACGAGATGACCTCCCCTCTCTTTATTCCCCCTCCCTCTGCCTGTGCTGGTTCCAGATGGCTGAGCACTCACCCCTCCCAAGGATGGCTCATTGTATTAAAGAAACTTAGAAGGAGCCAGGGTAAAGGGACTGAATACCTTTACCTAGGCATCTTCAAGCCATCATCCTTGCCCCCCGCCCCCCCCACCTGAGATAAAGTTACTCTCCACACACACACACACACACACACCCCTCAGCCCGTTTCAGAATCAACTGAATATGCTCAGGTTTCTTCTCAGGTCCTACCACCTGCTCTGGGCCTAGCTTTGAAAAGACTAAAACTGATTTCTTTCTCTCATCCAAATTTTACAGGGGAGAGGAAATGTGCAGATAAGCAGGATTCTCAGCAAACTAGGAGTTTTGCTTTGGGGTGTTCCTTTTGTGTGTACATGGATGGTTGTGGGAAAGGAAGATGAAGGCAGAGGTCCAGAAGGAAAAATGATGTCAACAGGCAAGGCTGTAATGAGAAAGGGAAGGTCATAGCCAGATTCCTCTCCAGTGCCCCAGCCTCACCTTTCTAAGATATCCACAATGGTGCAGGCAAAGATGAGGAGCCCTTCTGGCATTTGCAAGCCCACTGAAAGACACAGCAGAGATATGAGGGACAGATGGCTACAAGAGGCTGTAACAGGTATACTGCCCATCTCTGGGCCAGACAACAACTCCCCTCTCCACTTTAATATCTGAAGGCTCACCCTTCTTGGCCTGGGCTTGTTGGATCCTCCAGATGGTCTTGGGGATCTCAAAGTTGTAGTTGGAAGGTAACGCTTGGATGGCTGCCTGTAGCTGAGGGTTGTTCAGGATCTCAGGGGGGATCTGATTGGCCAAACGGCCCCGAGTGGTCCGACCTATAACAAATATAAAATCTGAGTCTGTAGCTGGCCTAGACCATAGCCAGACCCAGCTAAACTGTTAACTTCACTAAGTTTAAGGGCCAGATCCCAGATGTCAGTGAGGCTGGTCCAGTTTTTTCCCAGTGAATTAATCCTGAAGGTAGAGAAACAATCCATTAAACTGAGAATCTACACAATTCATTTCCATGATGTAAGATTATTAGGAATCAAAGACTGGAGGCCATGATGGGCTATGGTTCATCCCTTACCTCAAGAGAGAGGTGATGACAGGGTACTCAGGGGGAAACAGGAATAAGTCTGAGTCCACAATGATAGGGAACAACCCCATGAAAACCCTAGTCCAGCCAGTCCAACCAGTCCAACCAGTCCAACCAGTCAGGAAAATGTCTCTTTACCCAAGAACACCTGATAGTTTGGAGGTCCTAAGTAGGAGAAAACTGTTACAAGTACTAATTTAATACACTGCTGTCCTTATTTGAGAACCAGAGAAGGCCCTCTGGTTCTTTTTTTTTTTTTCTGGTACTGGGGATCAAACTCAGGACCTTGCACTTGCCAAGCAGGCACAGCACGCTGAGCTACATCTCCGGCCCCTGTTGATTAATTCTGATACTCTTTCTTCTCTCTCATTTAAAAGGGCAACAAGCACCATACATTGAAATGACTTAAGAAGTTCCTATTCCCATTGTTTCCCATTACCCCCACCCCAGGAAAGCTAACAGAGTACAGGCTAACAAGGAGCCCTTGAATAGAGGAAAAAATATTGCTCTTTAGTTAAGGCTGCAGTCCTTAATCTGGACTCCTTTCTACAATACAGTTTAGCTCAAACCCTCTGTACAGTATTTCTTTAGGCACCAGTTTGGGAATGTGAAAGGGCAAGAAATTAATTTATTCAATGAATATTTATTGAGACTGTATTATGTGCCAGAACTTTTGCTAAGACCCTTAGGATAGACGGGATCCTTCCAGACCAATGCCTGTATCCACCATGTATGGGAGAAATAGTGGGGTGGGGGGGTGCGGGGAGAACTAGCCTGGCAGGTTGGGGTATTGAGACCAGATTTGAATGCTACCATAGTTATGGTTTTGGTGTAGTTGTTTCAGGATCTTGGACAATCAGCCTATCCTTCTTGGTCCATGTACAGGACCTCTTCTGAGAGGCTCAAGTCCTTTGTGGTAATTGGGGTATGGGAGATACTGTTAGTCTCAGCAGTTCAATAAATTCCTGGAGCCCACAGGCGCTTCCTCTTTTATCATGCCACTGTCTTTTCTGTTTAGGTTAGTATGTAACAGTGTTACAAATAGTGAGACTGAGATCCTGGCAGCAGGGCTTATATTCTAGTCCTAGCGCAGGCCTGGCATTCAGAGGGAGCTTGGTTAGTGCCTGATAAATGAAACCATATTCTTCTTCCCAGAAAGCATTCCCTCAAAGCACACTGGTAAAATGCCCGCTGTACCAACAAGGCCCCTTCCCATTCGGTCCAGTCCGTCTTATCCGTCGATCTTTCTGTGTCTTTCTGCCTGCCAAGACAGTGGGTGTTTTCTGACGTGAGGACTACAAGCTCCTTAGGAGGGGCTGCTCTCAACCGCGCTCGAAGGCTTCGAAAGCAAGGACCGGTCCTCTGGGCTTTGATGACAGCGACCCAGAACGAATAAGAGACTTCCGGGTCTGGCGGAGCAAAGCATCTCTGCCGTTAAAGGGGACTGGTCCTGTCCTTTATTTGGGGGCCTCACCCCGAGATGCGAGGTCTGGAGGCCGCAACGTTGAGGCACCCACCTCTGCCAGGGCCTTTTCGGCTGCCCTGCTCCGCAGCCTCAGGAGCTACCAGCGCCGCCATCGCCTGCCTGCCCACGTGGGGGACAAAAAGACAGCGCTGGAAGATCGCGGAGCTTGCAGACATTACGATCGATCGCCGATCTGTCAGCGAAGGGCGGGGATTCTCGCTGGGTGGAGACCACAGAGGAGGTAGGGGCGGGGCAATAGCTGTCCCTACTTTAGCCCCGAAGTCCCGGACTCTTCCTCTTCAGGATACCCTAGTGTTCTCGGAGCAACCACAGTTGTCCTCTCCCTGTGACCTTGTCTACCACCCTCTTCCCTACCCAGACCCAAAGCTGACACTTCCAAAACAATGGATCCCTATTGCCTGACCTCTGAAGGCTAAGTCTGAAGAAGGGGGACACCTGATAGGTCTCACTCCTGCTCTCATTCCCTTTCTGGTAAGCTGGGCTGTGTCAGCTACTCTGGGTGACTGAATTCTCTACCTCATAGGTCTGGATTGCCCCGGCAGGACAAAATTCGGTGCCTACCACAGCCCAACTGCAAGTTGAGAGTCTTGGTGTGGTTCTGGAGCATCCCCAGTGCCTTTTGTCGCTTTTAGAGCCCATTGTGGGCAAGGTTCACACAGGAGGAACTGCAGCTCTGGGAAAGACAGGAATCTGAGGGTGTTTTCCTGGAAAGACAGGGCAGCCAGAAGACTCTATTGTTTAAACCTTCAGGATTTTTCTATTTGTTTAAACCTTCATATTTTTTCCCTGCCTAGGCTACCTCTCAGGATTAGCTTTTTTCCCTGATTTCCTAGGGCCCAAAGAAAAGCAGAGCAGCCAAGAAGACAGCCCTGGACTTTGGAAGAGCAAAGTACCTATGGTACTGGCCCTCTGCAAAATCTGCCACATGCAGTAGCGGGTGTCCAAGAGCTGTTTGCCCACCCAGCCCCCTGCCACCGTCTTCCTCTCGCTGCAGTGGTACTGTGAGCACAGCTGGCTCTTTAAGGCAGCGCTGTGGCCTCAGGCTCCCCTGGAGGCCCTCCCTGCCTGGAAACCCCTAATTAAGGTTCAGGGAGAAGTGAAAACAAGCAGCCAGGGATGGGCCCTGCCTGGGAGGCTGCCCAGAGAGCGAGGGATGCTTAGGCAGGCTGGGAGTGAGCAACCAGGAGAAGAGCAGAAGGGGTCAGTGCTCTGCCCCTCAGGCCACCAGCATTAGGATAGATACAGTTTGGACCAAGACATGGCCAGCATGAATCCCAGGAATACCCGCCCTTCTACCTTGATGAGAGTCCAGCCTACATTTCCCATCTCTCCTGGCCTCTCTTCAGGGTCTGAATTTTAGGATTCCAGTGCCTCCCCCTCAGCATTCCAAGACCCAGTCAATGGCCAGCTTTAGTTCTGGCTTCATCTTTGAGTTCCATCGGGGAAAGCTTGACTCCAACAGAATAGTGGCTCCATCCCTTAGGGCTTTTCCTTGTTAGAGGTGGGACCCATACCTGATAAAGCCCCCTTTCTCTTACAACACTGTTCCATAGAATCTGTTCTGCAAGGGTAGCCCTGGCCCCTATTAGGAAGCCAGATGATGCCCCGGAGAACTGGACCCCAAGAGCAGATGTGAGACCTGCAGTACAGGAACTGGGGGCTGCCATTCCTCTTGGGCTGAAGATACGTCCATCTGCCCATGGGGGTCTCCCTTCCTGAGTTACTCAGCTGTCTGAGTAATTACCACCTGACAAGAAAGTGGGCACAGAGTACTCACTCACCCCCCACATTACTCCACAACACCCGCCTACAGCCACCCCCACCCCCTGGCTGGACTCCAAGGCAGCACCAGGCCCTCCTGAGGCCTGAAATAACTCTTATTTCTCACACTCACGCCTGCCAACTTTGCCTAAGTAGTTGGAGTTTGTGGGACAGGGGGTCATAGGGAGGTGGTTTGGGGAGGTGCAAAGAGAATTAGCATACCCTAATTTGGGCCCACACTTTATCACTGATTTGCTGTGTGACACTGAGCAAGTGTTCAGCCTCTCTGAGCTCTGGTTTCATGGAGGACCTCTGCAGCTCTCAATGTCCTGGAGTTCAGCTCTTGTATCTGTCAGGCAGGGATCAGGCAAGATGTGGGGCCAATGCAGGATTGCAGATCGTAGGGGTAAGAGAAGAAATATTCCACTATCTCTTCCTACCCCAACGAGGGTTCAAGCTGAGTAATCTTCCAAACAAGGTTCTTCTCACCGTTAGGCATTTGTACATTCTCTTCTTCCTAGAATGGCGATTCACCCTAGCCTGATGAACTCAGCCCTCCTGGGCATCCTGCTATGTCAAAAGCTTCTGGATGTCCAAGATCCTACACTTAGCTCAAAGCCTCAGTGTCATTGATTGCATGTAAGAAGGCAGGAACGGTAATTTGGCCTTCTCTTTGACCTTCCTGTCTTGTCATTTTCCTCCAAGGATGAGTTTTATTGGTTTTCAGCTTAGATGTCACCTGCTCCAAGCAGGTTTCCCTGAGCCTGTGTCAGCTCCATAACAATACCCTGCTTTTTTTTCTTTTCCTTCCAAGCGTCATTATCTCCTCGTCTGGACCGTTCTTATTTGGTTCTATTAGAATGTAAACTCCAGGAGGACAGGGGCTTTCTTTTTCATTGGCTAAATTTCCGGAAATAGTAGCGCCCCACATTGCCTTGAGAGAATGACTTGGCCCATTCTTTTTTCTCCCTCCGAATCCCTCCTATCCCGGACCAGTAGGGGGTGCCGGCCTCCTGCACGGATCTTGCTCGACTTGAACCTTCTCTACACTCAGCCCATTGGGCCCTGTTGCGGGACCGTTTACTAAGCGATGCTTCCTCCATTTTCTGTGAATCGCGGGGCGGGGATTTTAAGATCAGAACACCCCCGAAACAGCCCATCTGAACCCCACACTGGTCCTTCCCTGTGGAGTTTGCACTGGACATCCCCGAATGCTGGCTGCCCCGCACCTCTCCCTCAAAAGAACCGTGTGTCCTAAGACGCTGGATGGGGAACGTCTGGGTTCGCTGGAGCTGTTCTGGACAAGGAAGAGCCGTCGAGCCTCGCAGGGGGAAGGGGTACCTGCCAGAGAGGAGATGGGGCAAGGGTGCGGACTTGTGACCCGGACTCTGGGCGGCGGTCCTCGTCCCAGGCGGTCGGCAGGCGCACGCTTCTAGCTGCCTCTCCCGATGACCTCCAGCCGCGAAGGGCGAGCTGGCGGGGGCTGCTGGAGCTGTTCTGGACAAGGAAGAGCCGTCGAGCCTCGCAGGGGGAAGGGGTACCTGCCAGAGAGGAGATGGGGCAAGGGTGCGGACTTGTGACCCGGACTCTGGGCGGCGGTCCTCGTCCCAGGCGGTCGGCAGGCGCACGCTTCTAGCTGCCTCTCCCGATGACCTCCAGCCGCGAAGGGCGAGCTGGCGGGGGCTCTGCTGC